AATATGACAATCGCAGTGGGACAAGTAGCAAAAAAAAATAGAAAAATAAAAATAAAAAAACAGGAAAAAACGGTTTGATAAATACGCATATCAAAATTAATCAGATCGGATGGTTATGCATAAAAAAGTATACGTTAATTTATATTCATCATATTTACATGCCATGTACAGCAAGGAGCAGCAGGAGTCGGGGCCGCCTTCGAGGGTAATAAATATGTGGACCTATGTTAAAATCTCTGGCTGGCATTGCGTAATAAATTTCACATTTTATTGGCCACACGCGAGAGGTTAGCGAGAACTTGGCATAAAGATGGGTGCGAGCTGGTAATGATGAGAAAATGCGTTGCTACGCAACGACTGGATACATTTTGGGTTCGTCTATCTATACATAACCAAGGTCACTTCGCTGTGCGTGTATGTGTGTTTGTGTGGGTGTGGATGTGTTTTGGTCTTTTTCTTTCCATTCAATTGCCGTTCGCCTAAGGGCAGCTCTGCGTCAACGCGTCGTATGAGCAATTTGCATGTTTCAGTGGAGTCTAGACGGCAAAAGCAAAAGTCTGGGGCTGGGGCTGGGACTGGGGCTGGGGCATGAATGCGGGCGGCTGCTGCTTTGGGTGGCTCGGATTTGTCTATTTTATGCTTTTTGTGGGTCAAGCCACAAAATGAAGGCAACGAACGGCAGCAGCGATGGCGGCGATGATTTTATTTCTTTTTCGTGTTTTGTTTCGACGTTGCCAGGGTTTCTCAATCTATTTTATGGCAGCGTCACATTCTCATTGTCATGCTAGATGCTGTTGTTGCTCTTGTTGTTGTTTTTGCAATTTTAACGTCTTTGAAAGGCCGTCAACCACAATGCCGTTATTTATGTGCATGCGGCTTTTGTTTTGTTGCTTTTAGAAATATTTGAAAAGGGTTCTCGATGCTCGGCCCTCGTTTTCTCACCCGGTCATCATTTTCTCACTGACTCAAAACGTGTGCGTGGAAAAAATGGCATTTCCCCATCGAAAAACGCAAAGAAAAACGAAATGAAAACGTCAACTTGTTACATAATTTCAAAATTATGGCGAAATCATGCGAATGGGTTCGTGTCTGTGCGACAGCTGCAGTCAGAAATGTGCTCAGCCAACACTTAACATGGATGTGTTGAGTGTCTAAGAGAATGTGAATAAAATATGTCGAGCGGAATAAAAAAGCCATTTTGATTTAAAAACTTGAAGCTGTCTCAAAAGATTTATCATAAAGATACATATATATATTTTTATATTAGGCTTACATTACAATTGTATATAAATTGGTATTAACTAAAACATATTTAATCACATTATCAAATTAAAAAGGAAATAAAATCAACTAAGCCCTAAATATTTAAATATATCTCCACCAAATAGGGAGACAGAGAGAGAGGGAAACAGACATCAATGCGCTTCAATTAAATATACAACTCCACATAATAGAGACAGTGATAGAGAGGGAAAGAGAGAGAGAGAGAGAGAGAGAGAGCGACAGACTAAAATGCGCTTCAATTAAGTCGAGTGCTGTGTATGTGTTAGCGATAACTAGGCAAATCAGGCAAATGCATTGATCAAATATGCAGTCAGGCATTTGATACCCCATAGCCGCCATGGCCATAGTTTGAAATATCTGCGGTCTGGGATGCTGTCAGGCTCGAAATGATTCGTGGTCGCGATTCGTGTGCGGCTCGTTGCATTCATGAATAAATCGCAAAACAAATTCCAAACCCAATTCATTGTGAATTGTTTTAATTTTTAATTTTTTATTTGCCCAACATTTGCATGGGACAAAGAATATTTATAAACTGTGATAAAGCCGCTAAAATTGCTGATATTTATTTGCATACAAACCTCAAATACCCGACATTTATGGTCTTATTGACAAATAGAATAATTATAGTTTCCATTATTCTGTTCATAGCGCTCGTAAGCACTTCAAAATCGAATGTGCATTTAGTTGGTCCACACGACAATTACGCATTTAAGCTGAATACGCTCCCTAGCTCCTATGAAATGTTATAAAAGCTTTCAAATGGTCTTTAACATGTTTCCGTCATCTGTATAAAAGTATAAAATAGTATGAGGTCTTGCACTTAAAACGCTTTGTAGAAATAAACTGAGCGTAACAGCTGAGCGCAACATAAATAAAAATAATTACAACAGCAGCAACAACAACAACAACAGCAGCAATAACAGCAACAACACAGGCAAGATAACATGCGCAAAGCAGTGTAAATCCAGCATAATCGTTGCATACGCTGACTGCACTGCTTGCAGGCAGTGCAACAACAGCAACACCAACACGAACACGTCGCCGTGTGGAAAATATTTATGAGCGTGGCTTTTATGCCAAATGCATTCTATAAAATGTTAACCCCACCCTGTGCCGCGCCATACCCACTCTGTCTCTCTCTCTCTCCCTCTTTCGCGTTCTGCTGTGCTGCTGACTCTGCTCTGCGCTGTCGCATTTTAACTTAACGTTTTCGTAAGCGCGTAAATATCATTGGCGCTTGTGCATTAGTGTGTGCGCCAGTGTGAGTGTTAAGCAGTGCGTTAAAGTGTTTATGTGTTTGTTTACGTGCGTGCATCCGCGTCTGCATCTCTCGCTGCGCGTATGCAAGTGTGTGTGTGTGTGTGTACAGGCCAGTTATTTATGTGTGTGTGTGTGTGTTTTTTTCCTTTTGCACTTTACGTTTTTTGGCACTCAACGCTGTCGCCGTCGCAGTCGCAATCATAGCCACCTGCAGCGCTATCGCGTAACTCCTTTCTCACTATCTCTTTCTCCCTCCATCTCTGCCTCCTTGTATGCTAATTTCGCTCAGCACATTTTATATTTATACGTTGCTGACAACAACAGGCGACAAAATTGCAGCCAACTTAACTGGGAAAACCGCAGGGTTGCCAACGCTCGTTTCGTTTGAAGTTGTTGCTGCTGCCGCTGCTGCTGTTGTCATAATTAAAACGCGCTACATAATTGCCAAACAATGGCACCGTGACTGTGTGTGTGTGTGTGTGTGTGTGTGTGCCCCCGGTCCTGTCCTACTGTAACTTGTAGTGCTCGCAGCCTGGACCTGGGCCCATGGCAATCACGACGCATTTATTCGACTGTCTAACAAAGTGGACAATGTGCACTTTTTCCAGGCCCTGTTTGCATTGGCCAGGCCAACAACCAGCATACACTCAGTCGCACAAAGACCGACTCGTGTGCAGTTTGCGGATGCGCTGCAAAATGCTTCCACAATTCGGGGGTAATTGGATAACGGTGCATGACGGAGCACCGATGAAAAACCCTCCACAATGTTGCACAAATTGTCTCCACACATGGGCCGTTAGAGCGACATCATAGTAAATAAAAAAAAACAGAAAAGAAATGCTAACGAGCAAAATGAAAAGAAAATCCATTATTAATATGGAAAGAATATATTGTTAAATTGAGAAATACAAAGATCTCAAAAGAGATTTTCAACTTACATCAAATAGTTTAAGAAATAAAACAAACTAGTCGAAATATGGATACTCGGTTGAAACGTATCTCTACTTGCAGCCGATAGAGAGCTATATTATACAAATGTTACACCCATGTTAAGTAAACTATGTTAGATATATTGCAAACATACCTCGGCTTATTTCAGCTGTAATTCAATTGTAATTCCTTGTACTCTACGAGGTCTGCTCGCAAAGTACCGTGAATTTTGAGTTGATTTCAGAAGCAATTACTCAAGTGGAATTCGCGTTACGTTTCGCACAGACCTCGTACAACACACAAATCTGCAAAATTCCTCTTATGAGTTTATATTAAAAATAGTTTTGCCAAGAATTTATTTATTTGAATTAGGTAAATATGCAACTAACTGTACACTCGCTATCTCGCTCTTTCGCTCTTGGCACTCCTGCCACTCGCTTTATACATGCACATATCTAATATATGATTGCATGTATATAAAATATGTATGCAAATTGCATAATTTGCATTCTCATGCAGAAAGTTGGAGCGAGCATTGAGCTAAAAAGGTTCTTTTAATATTATGACAACAATTGCCTGGCATTGCCGGAACTTTGCAAGAGCAAAGTTCACTTTTAACCGCATCATTTGGCCCCAACTTGGGCCACTCCGTGCCACTTTTTCGCCTAGCAGCTGCACCTGCATCGATTCTTGGATCTACCTTGTGCCAATTCGCCTTACCCAGTGCAAAAGTTGGCTACATATTTATTTTAAATTTTCCGCTCACTTTTTGCTGCATTCAACCCGAAAACACCGGAAGTCTCGATAAGGTTCCCACTGCTGCATATTGTGGGTGGCTGTGGGTGGCTGTGTGTGGCTGGTTGTGGTTTGACTTGGCTTCAATTGCCTCATTCGCATTTTGCCTCATGACACGCCAGCCATAAAATATTCGGCCAAAGTGCACTCACACATGCATGCCATATATACACCCACTCACCCACGCACACGCACACACACACACACACACACATTCACATGGCCACACTCACGTAGTTGTGGTTTCAATAATCAATGAGTTGATTTTATGAAATTTCTGTTTACCTCACTCGCCTAGCCCTAAAAGCCCACAGCAGCGCCATATATTTGGCTTAAAGCATACACACACACACACACACACATACACACGCACATACATGTATAAAGTCTCACACACATACTCAGGCCATACATATATAATTTTATTAACGCGAATTTTGAAATATTTTGCATAAATTTTCGTATTACGGCATTTTTGCAGCAACCAAAAGCATTGCCACGTAACCCTGGATAAAGCGTGTTGATTGCGGGCGCATAGGTCAAATGAATTTTAATTAATATTTTAATTAATAAAATCAGCAGCTTGCTTATCGCATTGTCGCTGCGCCCTTCTGCTGCCTCAGTTGAATTTACCAAGATTGTGTGTGTGTGTTTTTTTTTTTTTTTTGCCAGGCTAACCCGTTCGATTTCTCATCTCTAATCCATTTTCTTTGTTCTCTTTGTATTTGCAGAAATACCGTATTTAATTTAAGCATACATGATCTCACGGAACAGCAAAGTCTCGTGTGGTCGTCGCCGGAGGAAGATACCAAAATGTGTCTGATGAAGGGCAAAGATGAGGTAAGTTGGACTTTTGATTTTGCTAGTTGTGGTAGTAGAATGATAAGATGAGGGAGGAGTTTTAACAAAAATGTGAGAAAAAAGTCTAAGAATAAATTCCAACTAGGCTAGGAGCAACCGACTTGCTGTTATTCGCAGTAAGTAGAACAATCTTAGTTCGTTTGCTTCTGATTTGAACAGCGTTATAAATGAATACTTCATTTGATTTTATAGATAGTATGATGGAAAATATCCTCCTCTAATAAAATAGAATTAAATCGAAACGCTTATACTGCACTTTGGCTTCCTTTCGAAAGGGCTTAGACTAGAATAAAGCATAGAAGTACTTCTTTATGAAATTATCATGCAGGAATCTAACCATTCATTATACTTGGCTTAGCTATATCGCTTAAACATAGTCTTAAATTTCGCTTTTTTTCGACATCCATCTTCATTAGCTTGCTCATACACTTTAACCTACATTTATCCAACCACAAATCTTAAGCCTTGCCTCGAATAGATTATCATCTTGGCATCCACTGCCATTGCTTCTTTCGATTAAGTTTTGTAAGCCTTTTTTTGGTAATTTCCATTTCATTGCAAATGCGGGCCAATGCTTCCGCTGCAGCAGCAATTTGGCGGTAACAAGGCAAAAGCAATAAAATCTTGTCCGCCTCCCACGAATCTGAGTCAGATCTGCGATGAATACGGCCAGTTTTCTTTTGTTTGCTTGACCCAGCTGAGATTCCGAATCAAATTTATTGTGAGCATATTACTAATTAATCCACTCACAAAAATGTAGCAATAGAATGGCCCAAAAAAAAAGGAAAATAAAACATGAAGGTAAACACTTTTGAATTAAATTTGGTATTGGCGAAGCGCAACTTTTTTTGTTGCTATTTCTGCTGCTGTTTCGCCCTCCGTTTCCGGTCAAGTAAACAAAAGGGAGCACACCGCAAGGAGAAATGAAGGACATGCCGGCACCCCAAACCCGTCGTTGCATGCTCAAGTGCACTTCTGGCATTGCTGACGCTGACGTAATTAAGCAACACTTGTTAGGGGCCTGCCCGGTGCACAGTTGTTACCTGCGCTGGGAGCAGGTGTAATTTGTTGAACTCAATTTGCTTCACTTGACTTGCCCCCAACTAGGTATTTATAGCTTCAAGTTGTTGGCCAAAAGGAAAGAATTAACCTTTTGTTTCGTTGGCCAATATCTGCAAAAAGGGTTGCAATGCGACTGCCAAACCCCCTTTTCGTATGCCTGCTGCACTGTGTCCCAGTGTATTTGTGTGTGTGTGTGTGTGTGCATAGCGTGCATGGCCGCCATTTTACAAAGGTTGCGCCCTTTGACTGCAGCGCAGCCAAAAATAAAATAAACCAAAATGTTGAAAAGAAAAATGAGAAACTAAATTGCAATTGTTAGCATATTATATGCACTAATGAAAAGTTCAAATTTACAATTTTAATTAGCTGACATTTCGCTAATGTGCTCTGCCCCCCATCGCAGATAATAGTCGCCTGAGCAGCGCCTAAAAGCCGACTGCACTCTATGGCCCGCAATGCAATTAGGAAGCCGAAAAAAGAAAAACACAAAAAAATTCAAACAAATCACGCGATTTTCCTTTTATCTAGCCCAATTAAATCGCTGGCATAGGCTTAACGGAAATAAACTAGTGGAAGTAATGCACAAAGGGTATTTAAGCTGAGGGGATTTTCGATAAGATATCTTGGGAATAAATAGGTTGCGCTGGCTTAGTATAAAAGGATCTTGAATGGCTATTTGAAGAGAGTTGAAGATTATTTCCTCACATTTAAAAAAATTTTGGGAGTAAAGTTCAACAGTTTTGACATATTTCAAACAGCTTCAGCTTGAAAATTCATGCGAACTTTGACTCAAAAAAATGAAGGCATTTAATCAACTCGAACAATCACATTCATATTCATATATGTTTCCTGAACAATATTTTGGGCGAATCGAAACTTTAAGCTTGCATCAGCTTTAGCTTTGTGTTATGCTAAAAATAAGCGCTTGGAAACTTTTCTCATTTGCGCTGAATATTTTCAGGCCAATTGTGTCAGCAACAACAATTACAACAAAAGCAACAATAGAGGCACAAAATCATGGCTGATAAATTTGTTGAGCGCAGCAAATTTATTTTTATTTTTGCCTCTTTCTGCGAAAGCTTGAAAAAATTTCATTTTAATAACGCGCCCAAAATGGCGGCTTTGTGTGTTTTCTTTTTTTGTGTGTTGCTTTTCCTATTTTATAAAAAAGAAAATGAAGTAAAACTGCGAGCCGGAAGCGGCAAAAATGGAGCTTAAAAATGGGTTGCTTTCGGTTGGGGTTACAAGCACGCACACAGCCAAACAAATATGATTATAACTGCAGCGATAAGGGCATATAAATATATGTATATGTATGCATGTATATAGAAAAGTTTGTTGTACATTTTTAATTGATTTATTATTCGGCACAATGTTTTATTAAAGCTGCGTAAACAGCCGCGCAGCAGAGCAGCAGCAGCGACGGCCGGCCTACAACGAACTGACGCCCCCGGCCAGGCTCCACTCTGGGTGCCAAAAGAGCAATTGGCCGGCCAAAAGTGCTGAGCAGCTGCAAAAATGGGCAAACAAAAAAATACTGAAAATAAATATATAATAATAAAAAAAAAAAAAAGAAAAAAGAGAGAAGAGACGACCAACAAAATGAACATTAAAAGCGGTCAGCCGAATATAAAAATCTGGGTTGGGCGGCGGGTTGCCGAATGGCTGGATGGATGTGTGCATATGCCGTGAATTAATTAATAAAAGCAAGTTAAAATATTTGATTAAATTGTTTAAGCCCAATATTAACGCGAACCGTTCACGCAAAAATATTTGCACGCAAACTTTGCCAGCGATCAAATATTTGCTTCCCACGAAATTCCATGTGGCTTTGTGTTCAAGTTGTCGAGGATTAAATAGGTGTCGAAAGTGGCAGAAGAGATGAGCTTGTATATGACCAAGAGAGCGAAAGAGGTAGCACGACTTGAAGCGAGCTTTTAAAGTGGAGAAGCGAAAGTCTTCGCTTTGACTTTTAATGGCATTATGCAGTAAACCAATTGAAAACTCAGAATGAGGCTATAATAGCTTCAAATGTGTGTGGAAGTTCCCATAAGGTACGACCAGTAGAGTCTATCTATCCCTGTACATCTGTTTGCCCATCCATTACTTTGATATACGCTTCTATCTCAGAGCCTACGAGAGCTAAGGACTTTAAATTATTCATAAGTTGCATTTAATTTAATATTTATTTAATACAAAATTTTAATTTTTGCAATTTCGTAGATAGTGTAGATATTATAAACATATATAATGCATATTAAATTCATAAATATTCAGTAGAGTATGTAGATAAAATTCTTGTGAATATTTATGAATTTCATATGCATTTTATATGCATTTAATATACATATATTTAATTTAATTAGACTTAGTTCAATGCATTTTCTCACATTTTGCATCCCAAAATAAAAGAGTTGTACTTTATAATCATTAATGAAAAATATATGAAAAGAAGTCAATTGAGTGTTACGAAAAACAAAATTCCATGCCCTTTAATGATTTTTTGGGCTTTGTTCTTCGCCCAAATAAAATGCAAACAGACGATTAATTTTGAATGGCAGCTGAAATTTTGTCAAGCCTAAAGGAATGCGAAAAAAAGAGAAAACGAAAAGGTAAATAAACAACACTAAAGTGGGCGTGGCGAGAGGTCAACAGATTATGTGAATCGCTCTGCAGGAGGCGGCGTTTGTGGGCGTGGCATTGGCAGGACTTTAGCAGAATTAATGAAATTCCGAATGCCAGAGCAAAATGTCAAAACGAAATGAGTGATTTGAATGGATGTACGCATTTGAATGGACAACAACTGACACGCCCATGCCCCTGGCCCCCATTGCTGCTGCTGCTGCTGCTGCTGCTTGTCAAACAACAAGTGAGATAAATGAGCGTGCGATAGTTGCCGTGGAGCTGGACGCATAGTTGCATGGATATATTGAAACAGGCAGCGACACCGAAATGCCAAGGCACTCTTGCGGTCTCGGGTTCTCGCCCCCCTCTCCCCCAAAACAGAAGGCCGTTGACTATGTCTATATTGATGTGGGTGTGCCCCTGTAGCCTGTGGGTGTAACTGTGGCGTTGGCGGTGGCGGTGGCGGTGGCGGTGTCTGTGGATGTTGAAAGTGTTGGCCACCTGTGCATAAATTAAAAGCACTTCCGCACTCCAAATGAACAATAGCCGTCCGGTCAGGGCTGAGAGCTTCAACACAAATGAATTTCAAATGCCATTTCGCAGACACAGAGAAACAGAAAGAGAGATGAGCGTGAGGGGTAGACGAGGCAGAGAGTGTGAGCGAGCCTGACACCCATATGCCATTCTATGCTTCTTCAATAACAGCAATTCAGCATTTGGTCAGCCATTGAATGGACCGGAACATGGCCCATCCAAAAGAATTCCCGGCATTGTTCAGCGTCATTTCCCTTTACTTTATGTCAAGAGCCGAGCCGCAGCTCGTTTTTAAATGAATATTTAAATTATTTTAAATAGTGCATACTAGACATCAATCTATTTGAGTTTTTGTTTATTAACACAGATTTTGGAAATATTAAAAATATATTATAGGTTTTTAATTTTTTATAAATATTTTAATTATTTTTTTTTCTTTATTTATTATTAATATGATTTTTTTTAAATTTTTTTCCCCTTTTTTTTTTGCTGTTGTTGAAAAAATAAAAATAAATAAATTAGTTTCAAGAGCATAATTGGTATACGTATACTATATATTATAAATAAATGGAAATGAATTTTTGTCTTTCTATTGATAATAATAAATATTCAGCTGTAGCTCTCTAATTTGATTCAATATTCAGTAATATTCCACGGCATAAAACACCAACATTTCATTACCTCAGCAAATGAGTTTTGCTCGCGTTTGCTGCTGGCTTTAAGGAGACCAACGACGCTTACGCAAGTCCAATTAAAGTCAAGTAAATTGTTGCTGGCCGTTCGTCTTGTGGCAGCTGGTCTTATTTTTCTTGCTGGCTGACTTTCATTTTTCAGCTTGCCGTAAAATTATTTAATGAAATGCTATTGTGAGCTATGCTCAACTCATTTGCAACGATGGAGCAGTCCGTCACAGGCCTCAGCTCCTCTTGCTCTCACCCTCTCACTCTCTCTCTCACTCTGTTTGCGTATCATTAACAGTACTGTTGCCTACCTGCAGGCGCTTTGCCGGGTTGAGCTTAACTCGAACGTTGCTGGTAAGCCTTGAAATTGATGGCCTTTCGTTCTGAAATTTCTGAAATTTTCCAAAACGTTTGTTTGTCAAATTGCAAAGACTACGCACAGTTCTGGCCCCCGACCGTCCGCCCTGGCCCACCATTTGGCTGTGGCCAACGAATTTGCACTGTCCACGTGATTAACGACAAATTTACTTTATTTGATTTCCCAGCCAGATGCTGTTATGTCTCTCTTTAGCAAATTTCTGAACGCATTTCTCATGAAATCTTTGCTTAAAGATTGCCTCGAATATTTAGAGTGATAATATGCGAAAGCTGCAAAACTAATAAACACTCGCTTATGCTGCTAATTTTCGCCATTAGAAGCATGAGCCCATTCTCAATTTTTGAATGAATTTCGCTAATTTGCTTTTAGTCCAAAATAACTTGACCATATGAAACAAATATGCATAAAATTATGCGTTGAACATTAAAAACAGAACAGAAAACAAATAAATATGAAAGCGGCATGAATGAGGCAGAATAAAATGGTCGATTTCTGCATACCCTGTAGACAAATTGATGGAGGAATATACATAAATAAATAAGTTAAAATATTATCTAAGTACATACTATTGGCTCATTGAAATATATGAGATTTCTGTTTACTTATAAATTAATATAAATAATTATTCAAATTTCACTTCAAAGTATTTAAAAAATCAATAATAAATTATGTTTAACATTCTGCGTCAACTATGCCCATCTGATTTGAAAAAAAAAAAAGACAATTTAGCAGGGGAAAAAAAGAGTAAAAACAATAAACGGCAGCCATAACTCGCAAAGCAGAAAATTCATAAATTTTCCGCTTAATTGCGTTCAACTCGTATGGCAAGCATTGAAATAGTCTCTTTTGTGTATAGTATGTGTTGTCTCCTGTATGTTCGTGTTAATTACAACGGCAATAATGTAAAGTACAACAAAAGTAGAAGTGACAAAGCCCGCCGACAGAGCCACCCATAAAAACCTCCGACCCAGCCCCGATTAGACCCGCCCCGCGCAGCTCAGCTGTCCCGCATTCTATCCGCATGCCTGTGTAATTGTTGTAAAATGTGTTTTGTTAATTTATTTAAATTTATGCTCAAATGCGGCAGGCAGGCAGGCAAGAGCAACAGCAACAACTAAGCACATAACTAACAGCCAGGCAACAGCAGACCGCAAACTAAGCAGCAACAACAACAACAACTACAAAGGCAACCACAACCATAGCAGCAACACCAACACCAACACCAACAACTTCCCAAAGCAGCAATGCAAACAGTTTAAATATTTAAAACAATAAACAAAATGAAATGGAATATGCTGTCCATTTTACCCATTGCCAACAATTTCCCAAGGCGCTGCGAAATTTATGAAACTAGTTGAGAGAATTTCACAAAATTAGATAATAAAATGCACAGTTGGGCACGCGTTCACATGAAAGGCAGTATGAATTGCACAAAAAACCAAAGATAAATCGATGAAATAGAAATAAGGAAAATATTTTCATTTTATATGTGAGATAACCAATTTTTAAAATAATATAGCTGAAACTGAAACTAAAACTTCAAATTTATTTCAAATTAATGAAAAACCATAAATTGCTGTGGCATTTATATTGAGCATGATAATATGTTTATATTAGTGATATAAACAAAGTTTTATTAAATAAATTATTTCTAAAAATTTTAAATAAATGCGGTCGAAACAAACAATTTCATAAACCATTTTCAACTAAAATTTGTGAATTTATTATTTATTGAGAAGTAAATTTTTGTATTGAAAAATGCGAGAATAGCTAAAAGCTGAAGCTGAAAGTCCTCGAGTCCTTGAAGTACTATGAAGTATTATGTGTATATATAAACACATACATACTCACACTATATATGTGTATACATATGTACACATTCATGATCTCTTTCAATTTCTACATGATCTTGCAGCGCAATTTTATATTCTATTTATTTATTCTATTTACTATATATATTTATCAATATTTAAGCAGTTCTTTAACCCCCACCTCCAAAAGTATTTAATCATAGTGGCTCAATTTGTTATTTGTCATAATATAAAATGCTATTGGGTCATTTGAAATAGCAGCGAGGTGTAATTTCCGTTAGCATTTTCATTTCCATGCGCAATTCTTCGCATTATTGGCCTCAATTTTCCAGGTAAAAGCCAAAACGGAAAATGCGGTTAGCTCTATGCAATAGTGGATAGTTCGGCGGTGCCGAGATACAATCAGAACAATGCAAATGTTGCGGCGGTGCGTGTGGGCAACATAAATTGCAAGAACTAAAACCAACAGAGACAGAGGGAGAGAGAAAGGGGCAACTCCAAATATATTTAGATATACGGCAAAAGCGACATGTGCACTGGAAAATTGTGAAAATTAGTAGGCAAACAAACAAAATGCTTAAATATTTTAACAGAGCCTGAAAGAGACAGGCGAGGGCAAATGGAAAATGTCGGCCTTGTTGCGCTTGTTGAGTGGCTGCAACGGGGGAAAATTGCAAATGATTTGTCATGTTACAGTGCAGTGCACTTCCGGTGCTGCGCCAGAGTGAGGAGTGGCGGAGGAGGCGGGGCGTGGCGCTTTTCGACAGCTGTGCAAAAGTTTAGCATAGTTTTGCGGGCCAGGCCCTAGCCCGAACCCACGCCGGGCACACGCTGCGTATGCGTATTTTGCAGGTGCTCGGCAAACGCTGGCGTTGCCTTTTAATATTTATTGAGTTGCAAGTTAGTTAGTTCGCCTGCCCCACGGCCCCGGCAGTCGTTTAAATGTATTTGTTACGCATTAAATATTTCAATTTGCAAAACATTTATGCAAAACAAGCACACTCAACACACACACACATACACACACATCGACGGGTGCTGCTGCCGGATCTGCTCTGGCCTCGTTAGGCTAAAAGTGCCGAGCTGATGTGAGACTCGTCCTGCATATTCAGGCCAAATGGCAAGCGGAAATGCAAGTTTTTGATGAACATGTGCATATGCTAGTGCCTAATGCACATCTTCTTCATTTGGCATTTTCACTGCAGTTTTCCATTTGCCTTTTGCCATACACCATTTTCCATTTCCCATTTGAAATTAGTGCAGCTCGTCCGCCTGCGTATTTACTGCATAATAAATACTTTCTGGCTTTTCTTTTGCCACTCTCGAGCTTAACAAATTACTGCAGGCAAATGCTTGGCGAAAACATGCAATTTTCATTGTGAAAATTTTGGAAATCAATGTTTAACTCTTACAAGTGCAAATATAAGTCATTAGTTAACGCAGCTAAAATAAATTGCAGCTTTTCTCCAAGTGGCAAGTGAATGTTCTGCCAAGAAGCTGGGTTTCATTTCGTTTGCATTCAAGCCTAATATGCATTCTAATGAATTATATTTATATTCTCATATTCTCATGTGAAACTTTAGATTTCTAGCTGCGAATGAGGCGCATTCCGAGTTCGTTTTGCAGCTGGGTTTTCTTCAATTGTTGTGAGTTCCTTACCAAAAAAGTTTAGGGAAACAAACAGCATCCAATGTTTGTTCAACATTTCAATTGTTTGGTTATTGTTCTACCCAGAGCTCATATGGGAATGTTCTTATGCATATGCTTATAGCAAGTGAAAGGAGTCCTCACTAAGACCACATTGACATACATATATATTATTGAACAGGACTATGAAAACGCTGGAAATCTGAATTTTGCATTGAACCATATACATATATATATGTACATAGTTTTTATCCCGGACGAGTTTTTAATTTATATTCATTATAATTAAAGAAAGAAGAAGAAAACACAAAATGTGCTGCTATATAATATATATGTATATTTAAATTTAAACAAATATAATACAAATATTTATTTAATATAAAAATTTAATTAATATAACTAAATAATATATACATATACACATACAAGATGTTAAATAAATAGTATATGTATATACACTCTAAATATATTTTTCAATAATCAAAATTCCAATCAGAAATTTCTTAGGTATTTAATTGCTATAAATAGCGATTTTTTATTAAAAAATTTATTGAATAGCAATTCAACCATATTTATAATTGATTTACCATTCTTTTTTTACGTTTTCCAGGAGGCCTGCCAGAACTACATACGAATCATGGTGGTGCCCTCGCCAGGTCGCCTGTTCGTCTGCGGCACCAACTCGTTTCGGCCCATGTGCAACACGTACGTGATCAACGAGAGCAACTATACGCTGGAGGCGACCAAGAACGGTCAGGCGGTGTGCCCCTACGATCCGCGTCACAACTCCACCTCCGTGCTGGCGGGTAAGTGGCCATTTTACAGTTAGCATTCCATCTATTGATGGAATACATAGTATGTATGCATAAATCGTTATAGACATTCAGGCAAAAAAAGAAATGCAATTACCCCGGGCGGCAAAATACCACGAATATGAATGTGAATACACACACATACACACACACACACACGTTTATATTTGAATATATCTAGAAATATATACATGTATATATAACTGTTTTTTGTCAATTGCAAATCGGATATAAATTGTCATTCCACATGCGATGCGGCGCAAGAGCATTTGAATGACCCCGCATACCTCTGGCCCATTTAAAGAGTTGACTTCTTTGAGTAGGTTGTGCGTGTTAAATTTTGCATTTCACAATGTTATTGTTTGACGGCAATGCTCTGAATAATGTGTTGATGGGATGTGAAATATATTGCGGGCCAAAAATAATATATATATACATATATTTTTTTCCATCATTTTCATCATTTTTTTACGGCTATTATAATGCATTTTGTTTTGGGGCATTTCGTTTTGTTGGCTGGCGCTTCGACTCTCGTTGTGTTTTATTGGATATTTATGATTGCGTTTTTGCACATTCTTGTGGGCGTGGCATCATTTTGGCATTATTCATACACAGTCACCGAAAATTGATGAATTTCCAATTGAGGGTATTAAGCATATGGGTTTTCCTTTTTTAAATATATTTATCAAAAGTTTTTAAATTGAAAAAAAAAAAAAATTGTAGAAAATATTTATTGAATTTACAGTAGTTGAAGGAAAATTATTTTGCATTTCATTTTGCTTTATTTATTTTTTATATTTATATTCGCTTGATAATTCGAAATTGTTAGCAAATATGTGAATTATTTCTATAAATATTCATAAAAATGTTTCCTCAAATAAGTAGTAAATATAAATATGATGTATGTATTTTTTTAGTACATGCAATTACTAACGCCCACTTTCGAGTGTCGCAAGTCTTCTAATATATCATGGAATTTAAATTGCTGTGCCAAATTGTCAAGGAAGCAGGCAATAAACATGCAATTTTGACACCTAACTGCCGCACAGTAAACGCAGCCGCAGCTCTCGAGGAGCATACCTCGGCCCCAACGTAGCCTGTGATAGTATTTCCACTTGACACCCATAAATCGACGCGTTTTTCGCGAGCTGTTGCTGAAGTTTCACAACGTGATTTGTTTGCATTTCATTGTCTGCACACGCGAAATTTCGTTAGGGTGTGGTATACATACATGTGAGTGTGTGCGTGTGTGTGTAGATGCTGCCAAAAACTTTGAAGCTAGGGCAAGCCAAACTGCGCCAAACACAAGCTGGCGACGCTTGTGCCATAATATCGATAAACGTTTATAACTAACTTCAAAGTGTTTGTGGTCATGTGTTTGTATGCGTGGTAAATATGTATTTATATCCGTGTGTGTGTGTGTTTTGAGGAGACGGCTAAGTGTTGCGGCAAACTTCCGGCGGATGCAACCAACATCTGGGCCACATCCATGGAGGCTGCTGCCGCTGACTATGTGGGTCATAAGAGTTTATCATCAACAAGCTGCCACATCCGGCGTCCTGGGCAACCTGAAGGCAGCCAAACAGTCAGGCAGCAGCCGCAGCAGCAGCCATCGTCAGCTGCCATTTTTGCTTATGGGTCCAACTTCACTTTAGATACTCTTGGAAATTCGCTAAATGGGGTATTATGGTTAGTGCTGGAGCATGATAGCCGAGTCGATTAGGTTCCGTTTGCTCGCTGTTGTTTTCCCTAGAAGTTAATGATTCTTATACATATGCTCATTAGCCGCACTCAGTTTAGCTCTATCATTGCTTTCGCTATATGATTCCAAAAATTTCGCTTAATCTTAATCTTAATCTTAATCTGACAAACTCAAGTCGGAGTATCTGCCAGTCGTTCACAGCCAACTAGTTTTGTTTTTGTTCTCATTTCGCATTGATTGCGCTTTATGGTGCTAATATTAAAACGACATTTTTACATATTGCTGGCGTTGCTTTTGCCATTTTGCTGCCGTCGATTTATCGACAGGATTTGGATATTTAACGGGCGGGCCATGCTGTTGTTTAGATTACAAATTGGCCCGAGCAGGGCCAAAATAAAAGCCAAAAAAAAAGTAACGAAAAAATAATGTAAAAAGCAGCTAAACTGAAAATGTTATCAATTCAGTTTGGCACTTGATGAACTTCTTCTATTCTCAAACCCAATTTTTTTCTAGATTTTTTAGTAGCAACTTTGTTCACAGGTTTAGTTGTATTTTTTTTCATTGTTGTTGTTGTTGTTGCTGCTGTTGTTGTTGTTGTTGTTGTTGTTGTTGTTGTTGTTGTT